AACTCTACACGGTACAGAAGGATTTTCTTAATTACATCAGAAAACACCGAACACAATTCAACAGTTTGAATAGAGAAAGTAATGAATAATATATCATCAGATATTCTGAAATGTATATTATATTTAACAAAAGATTATTTCTTAAATAGATCATTATACAGGGTACATTATCTTGGATAAACGATTTCCTGATTTTTTATTAGAAGTTATTCGATGCGAAACAACATATTAGACAGGAGTTTCCTTATATCCATCATATTAAAGTATATACAGAATGATGTCTAGGACAGTGGTTTTCTTTAATTACGTCTGATGAATTCTGCACGGTTGGACACAGGTGAGATACGATTTCTTTAAAATATTAAAATAAATTATACTATACAAAATATCGATCAAAACAAGCACTAGAGAGTAAAGCATAATGGAAAAAAGGATTTCTTTAATTCTATCAAAAGAACCTTTACACGGTAGAAATTACTCCTCGCAAGGGTTTTGTTAATTACATCAATAGAAACTGTAAATTACTCCTCGCAGGGTTTTGTTAATTACATCAATAGAAACTGTAAATTACTCCTCGCAGGGTTTTGTTAATTAGATCAATAGAAACTGTAAATTGGACATCTTCGACAAACGATTTCTTAATTATCAGAAGAAATATGCACCGCACAAACTATTAGACGTAAAGTTTCCTGGGTAATATGCCAAATTAAACTTCATAAGTAACAAGATGTCGAGCAAGATGTATACACAATCCATACATTGGAGAGAAGTTTGAACATAATATTTTCTAAGTTATACCAGAAGCAATTTTACAAGGAACAATATCTTGGACATATAACTTATTAATTGTATCAGAAAAATATATGTATGATATATCTTAATAGATGTGGGATTTCCTTAATCATAACAAACAAACTACAGACGGTGCGATATTTTGGGCAATGGATTTCCTTAATCATATCACACGAAACCATGTACGATTGAAAATACTGTAGAGAGGATTTCTTTATATATATTAGAAGAAACGTCGTGAAGTACAAACTATTGTTCAGATGCTTTCCATGTTTATATTAGGAGTAATTCTATGCAGTACAGTATAATGGACAGAAGAATATTCACATAGTGCAATATCCTGACAGAGATTTCATACAATAATACCAAGAATAACTGTACGAGGTACAGCATATAGAACAGAAGAATCTTCACCTAGTGCAATATCCTGACAGAGATTCCATATAATTATACCAAGAATAATTGTACGAGCATGTTGGATAGAAGAATCTTCACCTAGTGCAATATCCTGACAGATAATTTCTGTTCTTATGTAAAAAGTAACACTACACGTACGACACATCGGACAAAAGAACCGAATCTTCACACACGGCAACATCTTGCCAGATATTTTATTTAATTATAGAAGTAGTTATTCTTCAAGATACAATTCCTTTGACAGAGATTATTCATTTAACTATGTCAGAAAAATTGTCTCCTTGTTGGGTCAACGGTAAGTTCACGGATTTAAAACCCAAAATCCAAGGTTAGATTCCTCGTGGTGGGCACAGTACAATAGCCCATTGTGTAGCTTTGCACGACGAAAACAACAACATAAGAATTTAATCACAATAAAACGTCTTTAACAAAGGTTTTCCTTCAACAGGTAAGAAAAGATTCTAGCCCATACTAGAATTCTGATCCGAGGATTTCTCTAAATATATCAGAGAGAACACTCACCATATGGTACGTCATATTGAACAGAAGGTTTTCGTAATTATACACCAGAAGTAACTCTTAACGGTACAACGTCTTGGATGGAGGGTTTTGTCAGCTATATAATAAAGAAAAACCTATATGATACCATGATTTTTACAAAGGAATTTTCTTACTTATATCAGAAGAATCTAAACACAGTACAACATAGTGAACAGAGATTTTCCTTAATTATATGAAAAAAAAAAATGATCGCATGTACGACGCCAGCTTTTTCCTGGTCGAGATGAGGGGGCTGATGTGGACCAGTCTGAGTATTGAGAGGGGGACTTTTCTGTTAATAAGTGTAGATCACCAGCGTGTTCAACACGCTGGTTGGGTTAGCTAAGGCAAACTTTTGGGTGGCTATAGTCCCCCCCCCCAAGCCCCCTTACAGAACCGATCCTGTCTGATCGTTATATCATATAGAACACAGGATTTATTTAATTTTAAATAAAATATGGAATTAAAATAAACTCGTTTACATGGTGTATCGTGCAACAAGTTTCCTGGTTTATGACTCGTGACACTATGATTGCTGTTGGCGACATTCTCCTAGGCCAGCAAAATGTTATACTAATATTTCTTCAATTAATTTATTCTAATAACTGAGTATAAAGCTAAATGTATATATATATATATATATATATAATAGGGTTTTTATATGGAAAAATCTGAAATTAATATTTTAACAAGTTCATTTTATCTGTATTTTAAACTCAGTCGTATCTCATATAACATTTGTTCCCGATACATTTAAGTATATTTTGTATTTTGGCTTTCGAAATAAATACAAACTTTTTACACTTCAAGCTGCTGATGCGATCGTTGTATTTGCAAAGAACCAGGAACATTAGTGTAACAGCAATTATGAAGTGTTGGTAGATTTATAGAACCAGGAACATTAGTGTAACAGCAATGGTTCTATAAATCTACCAACACTTCATAATTGCTGTTACACTAATGTCCCTGGTTCTATAAATCTACCAACACTTCATAATTGCTGTTACACTAATGTTCCTGGTTCTATAAATCTACCAGCACTTCATAAATGCTGTTACACTAATGTTCCTGGTTCTATAAATCTACCAACACTTCATAAGGAACATTAGTGTAACAGCAATTATGAAGTGTTGGTAGATTTATAGAACCAGGAACATTAGTGTAACAGCAATTATGAAGTGCTGGTAGATTTATAGAACCAGGAACATTAGTGTAACAGCAATTATGAAGTGTTGGTAGATTTATAGAACCAGGAACATTAGTGTAACAGCAATTATGAAGTACTGGTAGATTTATAGAACCAGGAACATTAGTGTAACAGCAGTTATGAAGTGCTGGTAGATTTATACTGGTTTAGATTTGAAAAATCTTTAGTGACTAAATATTTTGTTGTTTCGAACATTTCGTGGTGATGTGTTTTTCTACAGAAATTAGATGACAATATTAGATCGAGACTGTTTCCATCTATAAAGGAACAATAAAAACATACAACAATACATGTTATACAAGAACCAACCAGAAATAAGGTTACACGTATCAGAAGATTCAAACAATCGGTTAATTTAAACTGGTTCTTTCAGAATTTTCGTTCATAATTATTTATAGGGCTGTCTGCGAAGAACCGTCCCTGAAATTGAACAGTAGAGAGAGGGCAATTAGTCAACAGTAATTCCTTTCAACTCTTGGACTACTGTCTTCTGGTCCAATAGTAGGATTTGATTGTCACACCCGTGTTCTCAAAATGTGTAGCGCGTGTTTTCCAGCAACGCAATGAGAATCACAGTCCAACCACGCTAAACACCAGGCCACACCCAGCCTGGTCGGTTAATAAATCTGGAACTACAATACTTTATAAAGTTTCTTAGTGTTTATTATAATTCATCTCACCCTAAAATCACTAAGGAATATCACTGAAAATCTTGATGTTTTCTCCTTATTGAAGTTTGATAATAAGCAAATTACTCAACACAGTTTGAAATAATTTGAATACATTTCCGTGTACGTGGGCTATAAATAAAAACTAACTTTTTGGGGGCTGAATTCTAATTTCAGCATGTTTACATATAATGCCATGTCATTACACTCAAACTTTTAGAAAATCCGGAAGGATTGCATCCCCTCTTCAAAAGCTACAGATAATTGAGTATGTTATATTAAAATGATTTTGAATATGCAAATTAGCAAGTCACATGACAACCACTGCATACATAAAGTCGCGGTGGTGGAACGGTTGTATCAGAATTACATTTTTACATTATTCAGTGTCGCCTGACTGTTGAAACAGGCGCTGGGAAATCGTCGTCCTTGTACACTAGATGGGCTGTGGAAAGCATGCAGGAAGTAGTGGTATACCTTGGGCAGGACACCCTTGCGACGGAGCTTTTTGCAATGAAAAATAAGCAGCAGGCGTGACAACATGGACTGTAAAGATAAATCGTTTTACTATAACGTACTAAACCGCAGCATAACCTCTGTAAAGCCTGGTATAATTAAATGAACAAAATAACACTATGAGTGTGTTTATCCCCCTCTATTTTCTTCATCAATTCCTCTCTTTTTTCACCTTTTCCCGCCTGTAAATGTTTACGAGGAATTGCACATTGCAAACCCCCATCTGTGGGCATCACTGTAACTATCATACCATTAATAATTGTGTTTGAGATTAATAAGACTAGATTAAACAAAGAATGTAGGCTCATACTGAACAACAGTTGACAAATACGTCATTAGAGAGCTGCATTTATAAACTGGCTGCGCAGTCGCTGGGTTCATTTACAGAGTTTGTCTTTAGATTCAAGCTTCTAAAAAGGCTATTGAGAAATGTTTGTATGTTTCTGATTAAAATTGTATTTTATGTTTTGTTATAAAATTATAATCCAACTTTTAACATGGGTATACGTCCGAATATATCGTAAAAATGTATTTTAAAGACCTAAGACAAACTGTTTTTGAAAAAAAAAGATGAAGAAGAAAAAACCAATAATAATAAATGTAAAAAGAACAGGTAAATAGAAATCGAAAATGATTAATTTCTTCACTCTTCCCAGACAGCTTCCTTACACACTTAGGGTGTATGAATCGAGCGTTGCACGTATTGCGTGAGTTAAAATCGAATGTTATGCCGAAAGTGAGTGCATAAAGATATGCTGTGCTGTCGCTAGGGCAACCCCCATCCTTGAATAGAACTCGGAGCAACTCACTTTGTCTACCTCTCACCCCTATTAGAAATAGCATATTCGCTTTACCCGCATGTCTAGTAGTGCTATATTGGAAGGGAGTGCGCAATGTTGTAACAACTAGTCAGCCCACGTAAAGAGCACGAGGTGTGTGGCACGTGAGGCAGAGGACGCCATCGATTTTCATTTCGAGTATACCTTGTTTTGTAAGACGTAAAAAGGGGGTCCTCGAGCACTTAGCAAGAAGAACGTGGAAAATACGAGCCACAAGTATATATATCGTTCCGTGAGGCACACGAGAGCCATTTTACCTGTTTCATTATGCATCAAAGTGATTTTTGATGACATTAATGAGAACATACAGCACTTACATCTCTTCGTTTATTACCGGAAAATAATAAGGTAAGATGTTACGCGTGTTTTTCCATTTTCAAAATTGGACAAAAGTTAGTGTGATATATTGATAGTGTTCGATTTACTTTCATCGTTATTAATATTAGTAAATATATATTATTACGAAGCCACAAGGGAGTATATATTGTATGATGAAAATTTTAAGAATCTGTTGAGTTTGTACGATAAACTAAGTTTCAAAAAAGGGAAAACTTTTTTCCCTATCTGCAGAAACCACTGTGCATTTTTAGGTCAACTTTTACGAGGTTCGAAAATGTTTATTCCACTGAAAGTTAAGAGCTGGAAAAGCAATATTAACAGTTTTCGTATTTTATATTATAGGTAAGGGACATTTAACGAGAATTAGGGTATAATCTTAAAATTAAATATATATATATTTTGTCCACCCTTTACGTTTTTGAAGAGAATCTGTTGCTTAAAATGAAAGTGCGTTACAAGGATAGAAAAAAATGTGTCTTTTTTTATTATTTATTTATCTTGTATGAGAGCGATCCGACAATTCTCCAGAGTTTTCGTCAATGTAGACAATTCTGATAAAAACTAGCATCCTTGCGCATTTTTTGTCAGTCCTCAAAATACAAAGTAATCGATTGTCTTATTAAGCATATTAACTATAGAGTAGTTTCAAAAGTTAGCATGTCTGTTACAGTTATATTAGCGATTAAGATTTATTTTATATAAATATAATGTAAAGCTTTCTTGTTTTTTTTCTAATTAGGCACCATTTCACAATAACCAAACAATTCATAAGATATGAAAGAAATGTTAAGTAAACCACATAACTAGAAAATGTTATGTGAAATTTGATTGGTTAAAATATAAATGAAAATTCGCTGCTTATTTCTGGTGAAAATTCGGTCAGAGGTTACCTGGATATTTGATTGGAGTCTTCAGAGAAACTGGGTATTTGATTTAGGTGTTGGAACAAGAAAAAAAAATGTGTATTTGAAATTTTGTTGTTGGTTTTTTTTTCTCATTCAGCGTTAAGTCTGAGGGCTTATAACGCTAAAAGTTGGATGATCCCCTATCGACAGAGTACGGGTAACCCATTGTATAGTTTTAAGCTCAATATCAAATAAAAATTGTAAATAGATATTTACCATACTTTCTTTTGGCTACTCGTACAGCCCATAAATTCTGCCCGTAAAACTAGTTACCAGCCTGTCCTATAGTTGTCAAATTACATCATGTTCAAGAGCGAAAATGACAGTCCATTATAAGCATATTTGATGACACTATGAGATCGTGAGTAAATACGCAAGCCAACTTCTTTCCTTACCGTACACCTTTGTCTGCTATTAAAACACAAACCTAACTTCTTTCCTTACCGTACACCTTTGTCTGCTATTAAAACACAAGCCTAACTTCTTTCCTTACCGTACACCTTTGTCTGCTATTAAAACACAAGCCTAACTTCTTTCCTTACCGTACACCTTTGTCTGCTATTAAAACACAAGCCTAACTTCTTTCCTTACCGTACACCTTTGTCTGCTATTAAAACACAAGCCTAACTTCTTTAAAGGTATACGGTAAGGAAAGAAGATGGCTTGTGTTTTAATAGGAGACTTTGTCTGCTATTAAAACACAAGCCTAACTTCTTCCTTACCGTATAACTTTGTCTGTATTAAAACACAAGCCTAACTTCTTTCCTTACCGTAAAAGAAGATGGCTTGTGTTTTAATAGGAGACTAACTTCTTTCCTTACCGTACACCTTTGTCTGCTATGATATGTTTGTGAACGTGAACTTCGTTATTTAAGTTAACTTAAAAAATCTTTCAGTTGTGAGTTACGACAGTACTTACAGAACATAAAAGCTAACTGCCAAAACGGAATATTTCAAATGTTGGCCTTAAGTTATAGCAAACTGCTGTTGTAAAAAGAAATATACTAAAAAGAACCAAATGTATTTAACTTTTCTATATATATTTTTTTATAAAACATTTCTTAGACGGGCGAAATATTCTGAATTTACAGAGGATTGAGCATGATATATCAAAACGATTTTCAATATGGAAATCACAAAGTCACGTGACAACCACAACCGATATAAAGTGAAACGGCATGTTTAAGAACTACATTTTGACACTGTTTGGCGTTACGTAGATAGTGTGATTCCACCGAAAATTGATCGCTTTAAGGAAGCGTATTCATACACTCAGATCAGGAATTTAGAATTTTCAAGACCGGTGTATCCCTTGTACATTGAAAAACAAAAGAATATGGATCAACTTGCAACTCGGGACCATCCAAAAAGAGACCTACGACAAGTCGGCCTCAGCCATGGTAAGAAAAGTGCAACGACAGTGTAACAGGTGAGATTTCACGAGCACAAATATCAGTGACAAAAGTCGTCCACATGTCCCAGGCAACAATAAACAACATAATCAAGAAAGAAACTGATTATAGCTTTAAGCGTATTTTATATTGAAACTCTCCGTCGCAAGGCTATCACTTCCAAAGCATACCACTCATCCCTCACAAACATTCCATAGGCCATCTAGTGTACGTGAATGTTGGTTTCCTAGCGCCTGCTTAAACAGTGCGATTACAGAGAAATCCATATGTGTTGCATCTAACGACATGACCGGTACGTAAAATAACATGAATACCCTTTTCAATCTACAGCTGCTAGAGATATGGGACAGTTGAACGGGAAGTATAACCGGAAGCCTTATCTTGGTAAATCCATATCCTGTTGGCCTATGATGACCGGACGTGGTGATGTGGACTGCACTCAATCAATCAGTTTATATTCCTATTGGTGATATTTTATTTTTCACTTTTTTTTAATCTTTTTTTTTTTTTCATTTTGCTTGTGTCATTTAATTTAAAAAATATTTTAATAATCTAACTGTCACCAGAAGGAAAAATATCCTGTAATCCTATAGCATTAGTTCACTGTAGCTGTTTTGATGAATATAACCTATCTCTTTAAAGTTTGGCGATGGTTGGCCATGTGGTAGAGTTTTGTATTTTGTTTCTAGCGAGCCGGGTTAGAGTGCGTGTGATACCCACACACATTAAATTATGGATGCATTATAAGAGTGAAAGTCAGTCGCCTAGCCCCCCCCCCCAGTGGCACAGCGGTATGTCTGCAGACTTGCAACGCTAGAAACCGGATTTCGATGCCCATGGTGGGCAGAGCACAGATAGCCCATTGTGTAGCTTTGTGCTTAATTTCAAACAAACAAACAAACATTCGCTTAGTGTGGATGGTATTAGAGTGACGCTGTCTTCCCTCCGTTTAGTGCAGTAGTTAAAATTAGGAACCATGACAGAAAGTTTAGTAGCTTTACCAATAATGCAAATACGAAGCATGAAGAACGAACTTAAATAACATGAAAAAGCTTAATAGGCATTCGGATAGCGCTGAAAATCTTTAAAGTTTTCTTGTGGGTTTCTTAACTCTTCTAAACCTGATGTTTAGAGTGTAGTTATTGTATTAATATTAAAGGTAATTATGTTGATTCATTCTTGAGAAGAACTGGCTGCAGGAAATACATTGACTCAATAAAGAACTGTAAAATATTCGAAAAGAGGATTTCTAAAGACTGAATCGGTTTGCCACGATAGAACATTAAAATTCATAAATTTAGGAAACTTGCGTTTAATTCTTAATTAGTAATATTCAAAGAATATCAGTACATGAGCGCAGAATATTATAACTATCAGTCTTGTGTAGTGTTAGAGAGAGCGGTTGTAACAAATTTATGTGTATTTCGATTGGTTCTGAAAAATTATTTGTGTACCTTCTTTTCTTTTTCATAATCCACTGATTTTGACATTGCTATCTGTAAGTTTGTTAACATTTCTGATCGAGATTTTATAACATCATTAGACGGGTAAAAAAAATGAACGAAGAGTCTGTCATAAAACTGAACTATTTGTTTTTCCATTATTTTATACAGCAAAGTCAACTATTTTTTTTAACAGAAAGTCACTGGGAATTTTTTGGATATGTTTGTCGGTTTGTTTAGTTGAGCACAAAGCTACACAAAGGGCTATCTGTGTTCTGCCCACCACGGGTATCGAAACCTGGATTCTAGCGTTGTAAGTCCGCTGACATACTGCTGGGCCACTGGGGGCTTTTGGATAGGAGAAACCTTCAGAGGATGAACCAGGACAAGACAACTGTTTGCTAATAACATACAGTTATGTAAATATATTGAAGTGTTGTATGTAAACTTCACGGATCCTAAGATTCCCCAGTCATCCATACATACATGTATAATGAGTGAAACTTGAAGACACAAATGTATATACAAGTTTGAAATTCACGAGCATATGAATGGATAAATATAGGAGAGACGTAAACAAGATTAACTGTCTTTGTTTTGTACATGTTTTTAAAGTAAAAATACAGTGTTAAAGGTTTAAGTTATCATCTTTTCACACATTTATAAATGTAATGTTCCGAACCATTTTGTGATTTATTAAGGTTATTTATTATTGCATGGTCACAATTTTACCCTAAATTAAAGCCTAATGAAATTCGTGGCTTCTTTATAACATGTAAGAGTTTAGGATTTGGTTTAATTATGGTATTATTAATAATATAAAATCTTGGAATTCCAAATAGGTGTTTGAGTATATAAGATGAGATATATCCTGTCTGTTCGAATCTGATGTCACCTCAATGTGACGTCATAAGAGTCACTTTTGTATTTTTTTAGGTGTATTGTTTTTCCATGTCCTATATATTTACAGTCTATTCCACCATCCTTCTAGCTTGATTGAAATTCGAGGAACTTTAGCAACTAGTGTATTATAGAAAACCAAGGGCAAGTAAAAGAAATGGCATTGTTAAGGCCTCAGTGTATTGTCTCTGCTATGTATAAAACGTTTCAGTTTTTGTTTACTGCGTATAAGATTGGTGCTCGCTTCTTAGTTTTCCACTTTCTGTAAAATGGAAACATGCGTCTCTGTTTCATTTTCTTGTTAGTTTTCATTTTTTCTTAATAGCAAAACCTGCTTCATTTCGTTCCAT